CCATTTTACGACCTCTCCAGAGTTAAGTGAATCACTGCAGTCGTTAACACAGTTGTTAAATGACTTATCCCCATTTTACGACCTCTCCAGAGTTAAGTGAATCACTGCAGTCGTTAACACAGTTGTTAAATGACTTATCCCCATTTTACGACCTCTCCAGAGTTAAGTGAATCACTGCAGTCGTTAACACAGTTGTTAAGTGGAATCTAGCTTCCCCATTGACTTTGTCAAAAAGTCACAAAAGGTGATCACATGACCCCAAGACACAGCAAGTGTCACACCTACATGCCAGTTGTCAAGTATCCAAATTTTGTTGACGTGACCATGGGGATACTGCAATGGTCATAAGTGGGGAAACCCCTCATAAGTCACTGTTTTCAGTGCCGTTGTAACTTCAAATGGTCACAAGACAAATGGTTGTAAGTCAAAGACTAGTTTTATACTATTGCCAGTGCACTACACATTATTAAAAGCTGGAGTAGATGCTGAACATAATGCACATACTTTTTATTATTAGAGTGCTTTAATGTATTTGTTTCATTAGACCTTTTTCTGTTGCCTCCATGCACTTGTAATGAGAGCCTTGGGTTCGACATTGAAAGTGGGTTTGCTTTTAGAGGCGCGAAAACCCACACATACCTGTCTCCAGTTTCAAGAGTGCCAAACATGGTCTCTCACAAAAAAACCAGGAGAGTTAGGGTAGGATAGAAAGCATTGGCTCATTCTGGAGAAGCTGATGGAGGGTTGATAGCAGGAGAAAAAGTGTTGTTTTAAGGACTGGTTTGACCCATTAGCCTCTGTTTCCCTTCCAGAAGGAATAAGACAATGAACTAAATTAGCAAAGCCCTGAAGAATCACCAAAGGTCTTTGCTCAGAATTAATACGATGTATCAGAATACATGCAATGGTCATGCAACATCAGTCATGAAACAAAGTACAAGCGTCCTTATGGAGTACCTAAAGCCTAACCTCATAAAATTGGTGTCTTTTTTTAATTTCTGTATGTATATCTATGGAGATTCTCAATCATCCAGATTCTAGTTGTTCCAAAGGTGCTGTTAAAAAAGCAACTGGACTTTCTTGTTTTCCCCCCCCCCCACTTCTGTATATACCATTTTCCAGTTCTATGATTTATTATATTATGTTTTCATTTGTTCTTGGTTTTCTTGACAATCTCTGCATGTTTTCTTCAAAATGTTCCTAGGCTCCTTTCCCCCAAATTTGCTGAGGTGTTCAATTTTGTAACAAGAATTGAAGAATATATACATTTTCTAGATTGTGCAAGTTATTAAGATATTTTCAAGAGTGTTACTTTTAACATAATCTGATTTCAGTTGTGTTCTTCCAACCATATTAAAGCTACATCAAGAGGCAGTATTTTCTTCCATCTGCATAATGCTGATATCTAGGACAGGGTCCGTGAAAGTTATAGAATGCCTGTTTCTTTTCCTTAACTGATGGCATTGCTAGGTAAGGAGACAAAATAATAGAAAATGCAACTTGCATCTTCCATTTACAGAGAAATCACTGCAATGCAAGGTGAGTTGCTATATTTCTGCACTGCCATACTTCTTCCTGAAATCATGAGTTTCTTCTTTGTTTCTTCTGATGCTGGTTGCTGTGGATATAAGGAATTCTGAGAGAGGCTTTCAAAATAAGCAGGCAGAAAAAGCAACAGGAACTCTGAAAGAGAACCTTTCCTCTGAGTGTGTCTCAAAAATTATAATTCACATTACTCCATCTGCTAGCTAGTTGACTCAGAAAAGTATCCTGAACAAGGAACTAGTTTGTATGTCTCCCTTCTTGAGAAAGCAAAAAAAAAAATGTTCCAGTTACACGGCACCATGGACTGTCTATTAGGATGTTGCAGATAAAATCACACAAGCTGGCCAAAACCAAAAGGATGATTTCATCAATCAGTGCCACATGCTCCTTGGTTTAGCATTTCCATTTTCTCCAGTGTTGCATCACTCTGTGCTGGAAGAGATTTTTCTGAATGGCTTTTTTTGGTGACATGGTCATCTAGCGCTGCAGCTTCTGTCCACGTGTTTGTCAATGGTTTTCCAAGTGTTTCTGGCAGCATCAGTGTTAACACACCACTCAAGAAGGCCATGATTCCAACAATCAACTACAAGAAAGAAAATGGCATTCAAATGAGGTTGTTAGCCTGAAAGGGAGATAATGCAATAGAATACTATACCACTGAAATGCACTTATTGCTGCCACTATATATTTGGACACTGATACCTAGAATCTCATTAACAATTCTAGGTGGCTTTTATACAACCAGAACTGGGACCAGAATTTCTGTTGCTAAGCAAGGCCAGTTAAGTGAATCTTCCCCGATTTTGCAACCTTTTTTTGCCACAATTGTTAAGCGAATTTTTGCATTTGTAAATCGTGTGATCATATTAAGTGATTCCCCTATTGACTTTGCATGTCAAAACTGGCTGGGAAGGTCATAATGGAGATCACATGATCCTGGGATGCTGCAAAAATCATAAATACTGTACATACCAATTGCCAAGTGCCTAAATTTTGTTTATGTGATCAACAAAATCCTACTAATGCAGTAAGTGTGAGGCCCACTAACTTTTTTCAATCCATTGTAATTTTGGACACTTGGTCAACAAATGGTTATAAGTCTAGGACTGTCTGTTTATGTCCAATGCAAACTATTAAAGCCCAGCTGAAAAAACTTTTGAACTTTAAAAAAAAAATCTAAAAATTTTGGCTAAAAGGAAGTATTTTAATCTGCTCTTAAACCATCACAAATAGTTATCGGCCTCAGCTCCAATGCAATGTCTAAATCAGTTTTCTCCTTTAAGCTTTTTAATGTTCTTCCTACATTGCTTTATTTATTTGGGATTTTTATGACAGTAGAAACAGTTGTTTAAAAATATGATCATAA